TTCACTAGGAAACGTAATCTAAACGCTTCAAAAAATTATTTTCTCGTCTGTAAAGACTGCGAATTAAAATAAAGAACAAACCTGCCTTTCTAATTTGCCCCCATGCATTTTCCATTGGTCAAATACCACTGTGTCACAAACAGTACGTACGTTGCGTAGGATCTTGTACACAGTTTTGGAATATCACATAACATTCTGTGCACGTTATAATTACGCATGTTCTTAGGCCAATTTCGTAAATACTCGTAGGCATAAACACTGGTCATTCAGATCACTGCCAACGTCATTTCGTATTTCTGTTAAAATAAAACAGTAGAGAAAGATAAGAAAAATCACATTAATAAACGCACAGTGAAGGTTCAGACAGCAGATAATATTTAAAACAATGTAATTCATTTGAAATATATCGCCATAAAATAATATTTATCCAACGTTAGTAGCATCATCCTACGTAACTGTATTCGTTTTTCAAAGCAGTCACCAACCGTAAACAAGTGATCACTGTTTTATATTTTGCTTTGAAATCCCTGAGATCACTGGCTCTCATTTTTACATTCTTTTCTTATAATCCAAGCAATATTCCACGTGTTATTGGCAAAATGCGTGTTCAATCATGATATTTCTTCTTCAAAAGACAATTAAGCAAAGACGGGAGAGTCTGAACTGAGATGTATAAAGCTGGAGGATATTCTGTGGATAACGAGTATGTAATTTGAAGAAGCCTGGAACTGTCGCGCTATATCTTGAACACCATGATGAGAGACGGCAGAGTGTTCTTCTGTAGGGGGCTAGATTTTGTCTAGGGCGGAAGGTTTACAATTGTGGGAACTAGAATTTTCGACAGCCATAATGACGTAAACCATATCATAAGTGCCAGAGGAAGTCTAGATCCGGCACACGATGTCGGTTCTTCTGCTATGGGCAATTCCATTGCGTTATCATGTGGTCTGCCCCTCAACTTCAGATCTGCAACACAAAGCGGATTATTTTCTGTAACGCCCGTGATAATCATAATGCGGTTATTATAAGTGGGCTGTTGCGAACACGGTATTGAAATTTCCGAGACCCATACAAGACGTAAAGGACTCTGTTCCATGGATTTATTATAGTACTATATTATATTGTATTATATCAAGAACACAGAGGAGATTCTATTCAGGAATACTCAGTGTAATTGGGCGCTTGTAAATACGTAATTAAACTTCCCGATTTTAACAAAAGATTAGAAATTTATAAGTAGCTGAGCGACTATTAGTTTCCAAAACAGACGCTGTTAATGGAACTATTATTATAATATATAACATATATATTTATTTGTGAAATATGATTCAATAAATGAATCGAATTATTATTATTGTTAATATGGTACATTTATATACTTAGTTTTGTTTGTTTGTTTGTTTGCAAATAGTAGCGTATTTAGGGAGATTATTTAATACTTTAATATTTAACCTAATTTCACATTTAAAAATATTACAGTCAGTACTTTATTTTTCCAGGAAACCAAAATACCGATTTATTCTGCTTGCCTGTATTATATTGTGTAGCCTGTTATGCAATAGTGCACCATGTTGCATAAGAAAATATATTATAATGTAATTTTTGTATGCATTACTCTGTATTGATTAGAGGAATGCGGTTGTTCTAAGCTACGGAAGTGGCACATATAATCCTCCGTCATGGAATATTATTTTATTGGTTTGGTTAAATAAGAAAATTTTTGGAGAACACAGTGCTTCCTTTCAAAGAATTATACAGCAAAATCGGTCACTTTACATGCCTACTGTTAATAATTTGATATATCTTCAAAATTCCCTCACTGAAAGTGTAAGGTTGTTTACGTAAAGCAAGGAACATACACAGTGCGGCAAAGGGAAAACGGGACTGATGCTGTAAAAAAATAATGGTTCCATGTATGAGCAATCTGAGCATTGTTTATTCAAAGTAGCTTCCTCCTACATCTACACACTGCACACAACGACGATGAAGCAAATGGGAGGAATGGCGGATGGCCGTGTCTGGAATTCTGTTCAGTACTCTCGTTACAGCCCTTTGAATGGTGTCCACGTCATCAGTGGATTCTTTGAGTTTTGGAAGTCACACGGTGCTAAGTCTGGTGAATATGGTTGATGCGACAATACACAGACTTTTTTGGTGGCCAAAATCTCCCTTACAATGAGAGCCTTATGGATTGGCGCGTTGTCATGTCTCGATATTGAGGCCGTAC